AAAGATGATGACAACAGTCCGAATGATGTAAATAGTTACAATACCTCATCTCAGAAATATAGGCAGGTCATATATTGTATAAAATTTTTTTTTTTTTTTACTAATATTCACCCTATACAAGGCCCAAGGGCCACTCAAAGTAGAGGGTTACTGAGTGGGATTGTAAAGAAGGGGGAAGTAATAGATTATAAGGACAAGCAGGATAGGCATCTGTTGAACTCAAAGAGATCAAAATTGTAGTTGTCAAGGAAATATTCCCTTGGGAGTTTGTTCAACAAAATAAAAGTTCTGGAGGAAGAAGCTGAGTGGAGCTTGCTTTTTATCAAAGGAATACAAAAAGAACAAGGATGGTTTATCAGTGTGAATACGGGTTCTAGTTACTGACATTAACGAATGTAAATGTTTTTTTGTTTTTTTTTAACACCTGGCACAGTAATAGTGATATAATAGTGTAAAACTGGTGATGTTTGATCTGTGAGATAAGGGGTTGCTGGGTAGAGAATGATTCATCACCCACAAGGCCATGTAATTACTTTTGAACTCTGTTGAGGGGGGACAGTGAAGACTGAGTAGCACCAGCCCAGGGATACCAGCAATACTCTATTCTTGGCCTTATCTGACTCTTGTAAAGATAAAGCATGATAGCAAGAGTCGGGTATTTTCTCTACTGCCATACCACCAATATCTGCTTCTCACATTGGAGTGTGGGGAGGAGGAGGTCATGATAAAATTGGAGGCATCACTTTCAGAGCAACCCACATATATAGATATAAATCAAGTCATTGTAACAGATACAATAAAACCATTCATACAAGGGAAACTGTATAAACAAATTGTTTGACCATGTAAATAAATGAGGAGCTTTTATGTACTGTGTTCTGTCAGGACATGGACAATTATGGCTCTCCATTACTTTCTATCCTTTGTAGATCAAAGCAATGTTGGTCCCATTATTACCCCTCTAGTCCATGTTCTATCCATTTACACACATAAGTGTCAAATTTTCCAAGCCAGCTTTCCTCTTTTTCTGATACTAAATGTAAGTGTCCTTTTTGTTTCCATTTCATTTAAAACTTCCTTGTTACTCACATGTTCTGTCCAGGGTATTCTCAGCATCCTTCTGTAGAACCACATCTTTGATTCCTGAAGCCTTCTCTTCATCAACAAGAAAATTGTCCATAAAGGAGGACAGATATTACCTGGCAGTTCAGCACTCTTTACTTTGTTTTTAATTAGTTTCCTGTTTTTTTACTTTCAGGTGTCTTTGGATATTCTGAGTCACATTTTTTATGATCTTCCCAGATAAGATTCTGTCATCTCCAATTTGTAGCTCACATTATGGGCTGCCCCTCTTGCTAACAACCATATATTGTCTTCTTATAGTTCATGATTAGTCCTTTTATCACCTTGTAGGTTGATATGATAATACAAGATCCAATGTAAATAAATATAAGAGCAATTGGTACGTGACACCATCACCTAAAGACAGGCTAATGCAAATAACACACTGGACAGTTAACCCTTTCATCAAAAGAAAATGACCAGCACCTGGAACAAACACTCAAAGGGAATGTAACTAACACCAAAGCTAATTCTTCTTGTCACCTGTATGTGTTTTTATTGATGAGTGACAGGAGACAGAAGCCTGAATGGAAACGCCATGAAGATTGCGTTTAAGCATGAAACAAGAAGTTGACCTCAATGTCCATTTTTATATTTACATATGCCCTATCATTGATATGAAATAACTATATGAAGGCCATGATATACAGGACAAGAAAATGGTAAGCTATGCACTGACATATGTTTTTCATAATAAAATGTAGTTAGGGGAAGTCGATCTACTAAGAACGGTGCAATCAAGTGAGATTTCAAGATTTCACTATATAAAGCATAGCATACACAAAGCAAAAATTGCTCTTTAAAAGGGGTGGGGACTGAAATCTCCATGACTGAAATTCAAAAGGTTTTATTCGATTCAAGTAAGTAGTTAGTCAATGTGAACAAAACAAGTGGTTGACTATATGATCGAGTAAAACACAAAATGAACAACCTAGAAATCTATTTAGAATTTTTAAAAGAATTAGAAGAAAAAAGAGAAAAGTTTAACATGAAGATAAAATTTGTACTGGTTGGCATTGGTGAACTTGGAACTTAGCTAAGTATTTGGAAGAAACAAAAACCTGGTAGAATTGAAACCATCTGGATAATGATATTACTAAAAGAGAGTGTAGAGACAATTTGTCACATAATCGAAGTTAGCAGTTACTATTTGTGTAAGAACTTGGATTAAAATAAAACTTGTTTTTAAAACAGGTTTAAGCAAAGGCAGCTAGTTTTAAACTTCTTCAGCAAACCATCTTGATCAGAATTTGAAAACAGATTGACAAATGGATAGTATATTGCCAAAGATTGGTTAAAGGTTTAAATGGTAGCAGAAATTTCCGTTAGTCACGGCTGACCTGTGCAACAGTAATGACAGAAATTCCCTCATTCAGTTATTAGGTTAAAATAGTGTGGATATAAAAATGTGAAGCAGAAGTTCTGGATTTCCCCAACAATAAAGGAACTATTTACCAAACTAGCGCTGAAACCACCCTCACATCCTAGATTATAAATGTTAAATTTTTAATGTATTTTTTTTAAATTGTTTATTTTTTTCAGACATTTACAAAGCAAAATTGGTGTGCATCCGTGATACCAAGATATGCAGTATTGTTAGTCAAATAAATGTTTACTTTTGAAAAATTACTGTGTAAACAGACGAATCTGGTTACAAGTTTGTATAGATTTTTTTATTTTTTTTAGCATGGACAGAAATTGATCTTGGTAGGCGCCACCTTGTGTCCTGACAAGGCTGATTAAAAATAAATGCAATAATCAGTGACAGGGAATTCATTCCACAGATAGCACCACTCTATTGCACTATGGAGTTGGGGGTCAGACAGACACCCTGATGTCTACTTCAAAGTGTAGTTTCTGGATGACTCAGCATAAAATAAAAACTTTAAGTCATGTGTCTTTCATGTGTCATATTTTGGCCATTGTGAAGGGTGGCAAATAATATGAAACGAAAGCAGAGTGTGGGGAGAGAGAGAGAGAGAGAGAGTGGTATTAAGCATAAAATAAAAGCAAGTGAGGAAAAAAAAAGAAAGAAATAGATTTTGAAACAAAGTAGAGAGAGAGAGAGAGAGAGAGAACAACTCCCGTATAGCTTAGTTACGAACAGAGTCCACCCCAACCTCGTGAATGAAAAACAAAAAATGTTGAAGTGGGGAAGCCCATAGAGATTGAATTTTTAGACAGTGATTGAATCTACTCTTAAAATTATGGTTTCCAATTAGAAAAAAAGAAAGAAAAAAAGTCCTTTCTTTAATTAAGCATATCGACAATCATGAATTTTGAATGACAATTTATATCAACATGCTTTTAGTTTTATGGTAAATAATTCCCCCCCAATTCAATTTTGTTATGCAAACCGAATACAACAAGCACACATTACACAAGAAATGTGCTGAAAAGATCTCGGCTCGACTAAGTAAATCCTTTAAAAAGGGTGAAGAAAGAAAAAAAAGGTCGTTGTTAGATTTTGGGAACTGAAGCCGGCCGAGAGCTTTTCAACACCCTCTCATTCATATACATACACACACAAAGAGAGAAAAAGTCAAATTAACTAACTTGAAATGTACAAAGTTGTTATTCAAACAAACAGGTAGATAGACTTAAAAGTGGTAAATTTACTTTTGAGCCAAGTAAGTCAACACAAAGTAAAGAGGGGAGGGTGAACGTGCTAGATTTAGACAGAAAGTTTAACATTGTCCCTTCCATTTCCCCACCCCGTACAGACAGGAAGTCGAACTGCAGATATTATCGTGTAAAAAAAAAAAAAAAAAAAAAAAAAGTCAGAAAAAGGCAATACTTAAAGAAAGATTAAAAAAAAAAAATTCTTGAAAGTAGGTCATTATTATTATTATTATTAGGAAAGTTGATATGCAAATTTGAAATCTAGACGTGATAACGCTTCTTTACAAGGCATATATTGATACCTAGCTTGACCTAAATGTAAGAAACCCGTTAGTTCAACTACAGAGCTGAAACAAGAAATATAAAACTTTTTTTTTAATTATTAAAAACAAGTTTTTTAACTGCAATTACCTCTGCCTCTTGATTGGAGGAGGGGAATTTTTGGTATCAGTAACAAAGACAACACTAAAAAGGTTATTGATTGGTCAAAAAATAAAAAAATAAACACGTTCTTTCTTTTTTTGGTAGTTAAAATCAGATTTAAATTATCTTTTTTTAAAAATACAAAGAGTTTTACAATTAATATTAATGTTTGTTTATATATATATATATGTTCTTATCACACGAAAACATCCTTTTTCAACGAATGATAGCTTTGTTTTTTAATTTAAAAAAGAAAAGAAAAGTTTTTCAATTTTCACGGTGTGTCTGCATTGTAAAGGGGGGATACTTGAGAACAGTAGCAAAGATAGATCACAAGTTTGAAACAATGCAATCACAAAATAAACAAACATTGCAACCAAATGATGCAATAAAAAAACACAATTTCGAAACAATGGCCACAAAGACTTCAGAGTCAATCCTTTTGAAGGCAGAAACAGTTTTCTTCTAATATTACTACACGAACTGCTACAAACAAATCAAGTAGAGTGAATATTACAGAAAAAAAATCGAACACGATTTACATAAATTAAATAAATAAATCATAAACCACTTACAAGGGGTACTAAACATTACAATTTGTTTGTAACTGATATAGTGAATATTATTTTGAAATGCTTTAAAAAGAATATAATCAAGCATCAAGTTCAATAGGAAAAGAGGCAGTGCGTGTTTATGGGTAACTTCGGGCGTGTTGATAGATGGATCGGAAGAAAAGCTTTTAATAAATGAAATTAAACTATGCACACAAAAAGTATAGCCATCACCAGGAGGAGGATAATTATAAACACAGACAATAATTGTGTTGGATTGACCTTAAAATTAACGAAAACACGAAGCGTGATCTCTGGAAAAAAAAAAAAGAGAGAGAGAAAGAGAGAGTGAGTGAGAGAGACATTTGGGGACCTGATTGTGAAAATAGGAAAATGTAAAAAGAAAGCTACTTAAAATTACAACTTTTTCTCCTTTTTTTGCGGTTAGGGGAGGAAAAAAAAACTTATTTTAAACGCTATAGATTTTTTTTTCTTTAGTTACTACAAACCTTTTGCCAGAAGTAGTGGTGGCTATAGTAGCAGACACTGCCGTTGTGGCCTCTTCCAAAAGTACGTACTCCGCCATCTGGTCGACGTTGTTAAGTAGAAGAGGTAAAAAGGAAGAAAGAAAGAGAACAGACAGGGAGAATAGAAAAATAAAATGAAATAAAAAAGGGATGGTAAACTTGTTAAAGAGAGAGGAAGAGAAAGAAAAAAAAAAAAGAAAGAAAGAAAGAAAGGCACACTAAGAAAAAATAGTTTTCAAATATATCTGAACATGAAAGCGAACATATACAGTTCAAAGACAACGAGGGTCATGACCCAAACATCTTAAAACTACAATAAACGGAAAGCTAAAGAAGTTCATATAAAATTTCCATGTTTTTTAAAAAAACGTATTGGAAAATAGAGAGAGAGAGAGAAAGAAATAGAGTGAGAGAGCGACTATGTCGGTTGTAAGCGATCCTTAACTTACGAAGACATTATTAAAAAGGCGATATAAACAGTGAACGAAAAACAAAGGATTAATTGCAACGGGGTGAGGGTGTGTGTTAGTGTGTGTGCAACTCCAGGAAAAACAACACTAGCTCGGAGTCATGACATATTACACACTACCGCAGACGTAATTCTACTACTACTACTACTACTAAGTACTTAGTATTAGTAGTAGTGGCTTTTGTCACCTATCAGTTAGTTCATTGGACACGCGTTCGCTTAACAACAAAAGACGAATTACGACTAACAGAGAAAATAACACACACAAAAAAGGGGGGTAGGAGTTGTCTACACGTGTTTTTATTAAGCACGCATTTTGCAGGTGTACACGCACTTGTAATAATCTCAAAATGAGAGAAAAAGCAATAGTTTCATAAAGTTTACCCAGTAAAAAAAAAAAAAAAAAAAAAAGAAGTAAAAAAAAAAAAAAAAGGGGTAAAAAACAAGGGGGGAGGGTCAACAATATGCAACAACATGCTAGAAGATTGGACGTACACAAACATCTCTATAAACTTTAAAGAAAAAAAAAAGCTGTCTCACTTTATTACACTTAGTAGTGTTGTACAAAATCAAAATAAACAAATTAAACAAAAAAGTGATTAAAGACCACGAACTAATTATGAGCCTCACCGGTCATCATAAACACAAAAATACAATCAACCTGCGGAAGGTTCTGTTTCGATGATAACAATAATTGTTCGAGTTAACAAAGGAAAGAAAGAAAAACAAAAAAACAAAAAAAAAAAAAACCATTGTACTAATGTACTATCATCATAAAATAATAAATTCATACAATGATTTTTTTTTTGTTTGTTTTTACAGCATACAAGAAATTGTATGTAATTTTTTAATCAAATGCTGAACAACGTTAGTTCTGCACTTTTTAAAAATTTTATTTATCCCCGGAAAAAAGAGTAAATTATGAGAACGATCTGCATTAAAAGCTAAATAAACACCAGAAAAATCGGTACTCTTACTTTTACCAAAATACTGGAAAAAAAATTACTAATTCAAACAGGTGTGGACTGATATTTAAAAAAAAAAAAATTAATCATTTTCAAAAACAATTGGTTCGTTATGGTTATAAAACGTTTTTAGTTCATGAGGCTGTTATAAAGCCTTTAAAAGGTGAATCATAGCTTACATTTATTTTTAAGATTTATTTCGATTTTTTAGAATAAAAATTCAGAATCAGTAATTTTTTTTGGAAAAAAGTTACAATTATTTTTTCTAACAATCACAACAAAATTGTAAAATTTTGCAAATGACACTGCAAATAAATAAATGCGCAAAAATCTTAAATTATTGAAAGTTTGTGATTGTTTTCATAATTTTTTTTTTACGAGTTTCCTTCTTCCCATTATAGTTGTTTTTTTTTGTTGTTTTTTTAATAAGTCAATGATAAAACAATAAGAAAAATCCCTAAAAGCAAAAAATTAATTAGGAACACAAAAGGGAGATAATTTAAATAAAATTATAAACTAACGATTACGAAAACTATTTTTACACTTTACAGTTTACAAATAATAAAAAGAAAATAAATGGCATTGTGTGAAAATTGTATGGAGGTGCGGGTGGCCTAACAGTTAATGAGACACACACACAGTCAGTTTGAACTCCGGCTTAGGACAGAAAGTGTTCGCTTTGTACTAATATCCTTGGGAACAGGTATATCTCCACTTTTCCAAACTATGGTCAAATAAGATATTTGGGACCTTTTAATCCTGTAAGATAAAACTATCTTGTGCATTGGACTAATGACCTAACCCTACTGAATTAGTCAACATCAATACGCATAGTTGCAGCCCAATGTCACAAACAGATTACAGAGAGGGGGTGGTGAAAAAAAAAAAAAAAAAAAAAACCAGGAAAATAGGTGTGTATATATATATATATATATATATATATATATATATATATATATGGCATATCAACTGGTGGGACTGGTATGGCCAGTGGAAAAATAATCTATCCCTATCGATTAAATAAAGGGTACAATTTGAAGTTCCCAGAAAGCACAACATTCTTAATCATTCAAAACTATAATAAGATGAGGAAATCTGTCCAATTAGAGTATCATTTTACACAAAAAATTATGAAATATTAAACTTTTTACATTTTCATTATTTTTTAAATTTCAGAGACCAAATCTAATGTTTTTTTATCATTCCCCCCACTCCGAGCAAGGCAATAAAGCGACTAAGATTCAAGGCATTACTGAGTGTGAAAGAATAAGAAAAAGAAAACATTATTAAAGATAGAACAATAAAAGAACAGGAATAAAATGATGATTGACATTTTATTTAAATTTTTGAAGATCAAAGTTGACTAGGAAGCAAAAGGCCAGAAGAGCACAAGAAGGAAGAAATGCAACGAAAGAAACTATTGGGATAGAACTTATGGTTACATCTAGACATTTCAACTGTAAAAGGATGAGACCTTGCTGCCAATCTAGTACTGCACTTAAATTCATACATAAAGTCTAGGTAGCAAAGAGGAAAGCTCATCAGAACAATTACCATGAAAATATTTATAGAAAAGGTACAGGGAAGCTCACATTAAAGTGGTGGGAAAATGACCAATGAAAGTGACATGGCCAAGATGCCATGTTAGGACCAATAACATTGCAGATATTTCTTTGTATTTTATCAAGAATCTTTAATAAATACACAGATGTGGCAACATTATTCAATGCATAGACAAAGGGTAGATTTATAAACGTATAAGATAGATTCTGGTGAGAAAATTTACCTAGCACGACACTGTGAACAACCAACATTCCTGACAATTGATTCAATATAATCTTTCCATTTCATGTTAGCAGAAAACATTAGCTTGAGATGTTATCTACTGAGATGATTTACTATAGACAGGACATGTGAGCAACGCGGAAGTTTTAAGGAAATAGAAACTCTAAGGAAACATTAACAATCAGAAAGAAAAAGCTGGAATTTCTGGCACACATGAGGAATGAAGGCTTGGAGAATTTATCCGAAATGTAGTGTAAAGACTAACCTTCTATATAGCAATGAAGGCTGGACAAAAATGACATGAAGCAACAGAGATGTGTGTCTATCACTTAATATTACAGTTGAAATATTATGAGAATACCATGGCCAGAACATGTAAACAATTTGGAAGTTTTAAAGGAAAAAAAAAGAAAAAGAACAAGGAAACTGATACTCACAATCAGAAAGAGAAAGTTGGAATTCATGGGATACATGAAGAGAAAAGGCTTAGAGAATTTAATACTTACAGGACATATTGATAAAAATGAGAGAAACAAGGGTACCTTTTATGCGAATGGATGGCAGAACAAGGAGAAAGAGGGTTAGGAAAAGAGATGGATGGTTAGTGTAATAGATATTGGCACACAAGGTAAAATCAGTGAGCAGTGTTCAAATTCTAGTTGAGGCTGTTATGTTCACTTTTACCCTAATGTCTTTGGGAAAGGAATGAATACATTCTCTTCCCAGATACCAGGGTAGATTGGTCTTTCTAGTCTTAGATGGCAATCAGTCTAAGAGAAGGAAAACTAAATTCAAAACCATGGAAAAGGAAATAGGAACCCATTCTATGATCTTCCCCCAGAAGCTGTAGCAATTTACAGTTAATAAAGGGGAGCATGATGAGAGTCATGATCCCCTATGTCCTGAAGTGACATGGCATCTAAAAAAAAAAAAAAAAAATTAAAGGACGGGGGGGGGGGGGGGGTTATTTACAGAAAAAAAAATGTTGTGGAGAGCCATGGATTGCCCATGTCTTGAAAGGGCATGGCACACAAAAGAAAATTGAAAAGATACTTCATTTTAGATAGATAATTCTTTCTTCTAAATAAAAGAGAATATTTAACATTGTTTTTATTTTAAAAATGTTCAATGTATTTGTGTACTAATAATTCCCCATGACCTTATAAAAGAGCAAAAGTATTGAAAAAAGAAAAAGAAGTTAGATAAATTCTTTTGGTGCTGAGAAGTCAGAACAGTTCTTCAACTTGGGAGAAAAGACATCAAAGTTGTCTTGCAGGAGAATGCAATTTAAAGAACATCCATTTCTTTGATACTGTTTATTAAACCAATGAGCTGACTGCCTTAAAATCAGATATTACTTATATCTGTCTATTAAAATAATATTGCATCACCAATTACTTGAATCTTGGAGTGGATTCAGCAATCCAGTCTGAGAAACCAATTGTAAATGTTTATCATTCTCCCACAACGGGGTTTCTGTCCAAGACTTGTCTGTAAATATATCGACAAGACAAGACAAGACATATATCCAACATTGTATAATAACTGTTGTTAAGGAGTCAATAAGGGAGTGTTTCTTCAGTACTACTCATTGAGGGTTTTAGCTTAAATCTAGGGTGTAAAAGAGATTAAATCTGCAACAATGTATGTACTCCAAAAATAGAGATACAATTTAGGCTTATAGATTTATTTAAGGGAAAGTTCCCCAATATTAAATGGGAAAAACATTCAAAACACCTAAAAAGAGTGTGTACATACTACAATGATATGGAGAGTCGACATGCAATGTACTGTACAAATAAAATAAATAAAAATAGTTCAAAGAACAAATTGGCCATGA